GAGAAAGAAGGGAGCAGCAGTAGTAGAGAGATTGGTTTGGGAGGCCGAGCTTGCTGCTAAATTACCACCAGTTCCAGTGATTCAGGTTAAGAACTGTAATGTGTAGGAGAACAAGGTGAATTTGCAGTAGTCCAGGCTAACAAGCAAATGCAGCTGTATTTGATTGTAATGGAATCATAAATCTCTTTCAGAAAAATATGACTACGTAGGTAGACTCCTAAAACCAGGGGAAGAACCATCAGAATACACAGATGAGGAAGATACCAAGGATCACACTAAACAGGAATGAACTTTGTAAACAACCAAAGTCAGGGGCCTTCGGAACTGCAACCTCTTATCCCCATCACAGAATGTCCTGCATCTTTGGGTACAGTTCATCTGCTGCGAAAAAACATTCGACAGGTTTTGTACAAGGAAAATAATATACTCACAAGTGAAGATTTGAATACTAGACATTCTTTGTGCTGCCAAATTTTTTGTTGCAGTTTATTTGTAATGTCTGGTTAGGCTTCATTAGGGAAGAGGGGCCAGGGATTTAAAGGCAAAAATGCTATTCCTTTTTATCAGTAAGCTGAAGCCTTCAACTAGTATATCTTACAAGTTCTCTAAAAGACATGAGTCTTCAAGCTCAGAGGAAGGTTTGAATCTTGTTTCGTGTGTCTTTTCTCCTTCAGCATTAAAGAAAGATGTACTCATGCACATCAGCATCAGTAGGTTAGACTACTGAAGCTGGTGCTAAAATGTGAATTTCCGATTTTGTTTTGTACGCGGGCGTTTAGTGGCCCCGGCAGAATACTTCAGTTCTCTACGAGAAGTCCATGTAGATTAGGATGGGGATAAAGTTCATCCTTTTCTCGAAAGGATTGGGTAACACCCTTTCCTCTGCAACAACTATTATCTGAAGCCTGCCTCTCCCCCCTTTTTCCCATCCTCTAAATCAAATCAAATATTAATTGTGCCTTATTTCGCTTACATAGACTTGAATTGTTTTAAGGGACAGCCCCCAAATTGCGGTTTCATAGTCACTACAAGCAGCATTGAGACTGAAGTTGGAATGTTCTGTTGACTGGAAAGCCTTGATGTCATTCTGTGTATAGAATGTAAAAGAGGAATACTCAGTGTTACTGCCAGATGTTAATACTACATATACTTAAATTAGCATTGTGATGGCCAAATGCATACTCCCGTGCTTCTTTTTAATGAATTACAACCACACACAAAAAAAAAAAAAAAAAAAAGTCACCTTCCTCCTTTTCCAGAAGCTGCCTAACTTTTGGGAGCATAGCCTTCACACCCCCGTAGAACGAAGGGGCGTTGCGCGCGTGTGTCTGTGTGTGTGTCTGTCTGAATGCAAGATGTGGGAGGGATTGTTTCTGCAGATATTGTAAATAAATACAAGTACCATTTTAATAAAGCATGTACAATACCACACGTGCTGTCAGACTTTATATAGTAGCTGTTAAGCAGAGCTGGAAATGATGGAATACAAAGGGGAGGAAGTCTTGGATAGAGGAAGCATCCATCACTATTAATACTGCTCTTGTCTAGCTGTTTTCCCTTTCAAGTCCCAGCTGTTGAGGAATCTTGAGGACTTACTCAGGTAAGCTGTGTTTAAGAGAGTAAACCTACGCCAATGCATCTATGGTGGGGGAAAAAGAACTGATGTCAATAAAGCATTTTAGAAACTCAGTGTAATGTACAGGACAAGGAATGTGTCTCATGGCAGTAATAGGACAAGAACAGCAGCTTTGTGGTTTATGTCTGTATACCTCTGCAGATTTCACCTGTAATAAGTCTACAGTAACACTTTATATATATATATTTATATATATATATACGTTCTGTGGAACTGTAAACTGTGAAATTCCAGGGTTGACTACTTTTTTTATTCCTATTTGACTGAAAGAGATTTATATTGATGTAAATGAAACAAATAAACACCAATTCCTCTGTTGAATCATGTGTAACTCACGTGTCCTAGAGGGCAGATTGAATTCTGTTCCTTGCATATCCAGCCTTGGAATAGAATAGTTTCAGCATGGAAGAAGTAACAGGAGTGGAGCTGTTTCTCCATAGAAGTTCTGGCTGCAGGGTCCTGTTCGGGCTGGACAGTTCTGAGAGGTGTGAATTCAGTAAGCACTGGCTCCTGCTTGGGTCACATCGTTACAAGCTGAGCAACAGTACAATATCCAGGCTTGGGCTGAGTGTCTGCTAATCATCTAACTCTGCTGCAATGCTGGGCATGCTGCTGTAATTAACCACAGAAATATGTGGTTTAGATGGAACACTGGAAGCTAACAAGATAAATAAAAGCTGTTTTCCCTAGGACAGAGCCTAGGAGTAATGAAACACCAGTTCCATATCTGGATGCTTCACTAGGAACTTTGTTTTCTTTTAACTAAATCTCACTATAAAAGGTTTTACCCCACATTTACAGTATGCCTCTCACTTTCAGCTGTTGCACCTCGTCACGGCATCCAGACTGTCTCGTTGTGGAGCAGGAAAAGGCAGCTTACCCAACTATCTCATAGGACAATCAGATAAATAGTTTTTTCCGCATTGCATTTGGTAGAATACCCATGAAAATACACGCACACGTTGCAGCTTCTACCATACGAAGTCATGGCTAGAGGTTCTTAACACTGAGTTTCTCTGCTCTTCACTCATCACAGCCATTAGTACTGATAGATCTGGCACAGCATTAGGTGTTCCATCATGCTTGTATCTGCTTGAGGTACTAGCTTCCTACTAGAGAAAGAAAATTGTAATTTTGTTTTTCGGTTTTTTGTTTTAAATGTTTTAAAAGCACCATGCTTAAAATTTAACTTAACAGGATTGCCTGAATAACGAGATGGGTAAAGGGTGAGTTTTGTTTTGAAACATCTGAGTGGTAGCTGTGAGGATTACAAAACTTATCCTGTGGCAGCAGAATGTTGCATAGACTTAATCCTGTATTTTGATGTCTGGTGCATTTAAATTACCCTCATCCATCCCACATACAAAGCTAGCAGCGATCTAAAGCTGACAGTCTAAAAAAAAAGTGCTTTAAAGCACAGAGTAGCTTTCATATATATATATATATAAAGTTGACATATGCAAAGCATGTCTGAGAACAACATCAGATCTATCCAACCTTTAGTGCAGCTGCTACAATAATTAGATGGAGGTGTTCATCCTTGGAACATTTGTGTCAATCGCTTGGTCAGAATTCACTGTTAAATAAAATGACAGGCAGGTTGGTACTGACTGTTAAATTTTAAGCAACATCAGAGTCTGGAAGGGAGAACTTCTCATCATCTATAGGAACAAAACACATTTTCAGTTAAATATATGACTTGTTTTCCTAGGCTAGACTTAAACTAGTTTGAACCATCATTTGTTTTGACACTTCTGCCTCATTTGTACACCACTTCCCAAAAATGCTGTATTATGGCAGGAAATATATTTTTAAACCTTCTGGATTTTAAACAAAAATTTACCATGTTGTTACTTGATCTGAACATCTTGAATTTCCAGTAAGGACTACAGAATTATCTTTTCACGTCCTTGTACTTGTTTTTATCTTTTTACTGAGCCGGATCTACGTATCCTTGGCTAAGGTTTCAATTTTCTATCCTTTAGGGTTGGACACAGAATCTAAAATCAGTTTGGCACTCCACCGATCTTGCTTCACTTTAAACATCTTAGTTCTAAGCTATTTTTTAACCTTATTTTTCCTTCCTGCAAAATCAGTTTGACTGATTTTTTTTTTTTATTTAAAGATTTTTACCGTCTTCATTGCAAAGGTCAGGGAGCAGGTGAACCTTGCGTGCTCTTTGTTTGAGTCTCTGATAATACAGTAAGAGTTTGTGGGGGTTTATTTCTTCTAGGAAAAGGTACTATTCCTCTGTGTAGAACAGTACAAAAGATTTGGCTATTTATTCCATTCCTCCTTAACACAAGTTAGGGAAGCCTTGAAGGCTTACTTACATATGGAAAGCAAAGAAATAATTTAGGTATGAATGTTACTTGTTTTCCTTCCCTTTTAAAAAGCCTATAGAATCCAATATTTTGAGCATGACAGAAATGTCCCTGCGTTTAGGCAGGGTAGTGTTTTGAAGTATTGGTACGGTCATTTCTCAACAGGAGAAATGAAGACAAACCTAGAAATTCTTCAAGAAGCACACAGGAGAATTTTTAGACAAGGAAAGATCCAAGACTTGCTGAGTGCTCAGTAACAGACCACTGATAGAATTCAACCACTCTTGAATCAAGGTTGGATTAAATGGACCTAAAAGGCATCAATCAGAAGGGCATGTTGGATACACACACAAGCATGTCCAAATGAGACAAATTTACAGCCTCAGAGGTGATTCACCACGTGAAGCCAGAGAGAGAAACAAGCAGCAATGTAAGTATTGTATTTTCCACCTCTCTGCAAGGAAAGAGGGGGAAGATTCAAGCCCATGGGAAGTGAAAGGGGCATTCCTAGAAGGCAGTCAGAGTTGTGGATGAACTTGGGTGGTGGTTTGTCCACCTCACTAAAGGGACACTATGTAAGCAATTCTAGAGGGCAGCAGGTCAAGTATTCATTCTCTCAGGTAAAGTATTCCCTCTCTCTGCTTTCCACAATACTTATCACTTGCCTGTAGTGGGTTTCTTTGAAAATACCCAGTTCACGTAGCAAAAATAAATCAATACTGAACTTGAAGAAAGCTGGTTCACATCCCAAGAACCACTTCAGCCCGTAACAGGCTGGGTTTCCGCAACACCTCAGTGCACCAGAAATTCCCGTGCAAATCCACACCCTTAACACTCTTTCAAAGTTGTTTTTCTTCATACTCTGGGGGGAGGAAAAAGTTGATATACAACACAATTAGGATTTTTTGTTGTTGTTGTTTTTATAAAATATTTGAAGGTAATCACAAAATTACACACACTAAAAGCTTCATCTGCACATTTTCCAATGAAAAAGTGAAAGGAAATAAATTTATTACTTGTATATACAATTTCAATCCAAATTTACATTTGCATCATTTTCATGGAGAGCAAAAGGCATGGATCAAACGTAGGACTGAGATGTGTCACTTCAGCATATTTATAGGATATTTACTTATAATCTCGGTATAGTGTTTGTTTAAATTTATTTAGAAACAGGCCACTGACAAAAGGCTGGATTTTGTATTGAAATGGTAGAAACTGTGGGAAGGTCACTGCTACAACCCATTCCTTTCAATGCAAACATCGATCATTTGTTCCAGTGAGGTTCACAAGACAATGACTGAAAAATTAAGGGACTTGTTATAATAAAACCCCATCCATGGCTGTGCAGTCAGATTAAGGCATCTGTGCTAGACAGAACTTTTTAAAAGTTAATGGGAGTAATTTCTGCAGTTAACTAACAAACAGCTGGAATTCCTCTCACCTACCCCTGGAGGAGGTAAGTTATCCACTTCGTTCCTTTTGAGTCTTTAAAAACAAAGTAATGAAGTTAGTAAGACATGACAGGTTATAAACATCCCCACCTTTCAGCATTAAAAATGGATTTGTATTTGAATAACTTCTATTCAGTGAATTGTCTTTAGACCTGTTTGAAATCATTTAGGCTTAGCTAGCGCAACTGAAGCAGAACTTAATTCAAATATTGCAAAATAAAGCAAATAAAATTTACAAGAAATACTTCATTTCCCTCCAAACTAATTATTACTTGAAATATGGAAAAAAAAAAAATTAAAATTATGCCTCTCCTGTTGGAGTTCCTAAGAGAATTCAAATGAAGACACCTCTCAAGCCCAGAATAATCTGAATAGTTTGCTATTTTAACAACCTGCCCAAAATGTAGGTGCTGAATGTTAAATTAAGACACTATGAAATCAAAAGCTCCATTTTCCCCTGTAGTTTTTTGTTCCTTGAGTTATTAAAGAACCAGTACTGAAGGAAATATCTGTAAAACTATCCCAGTTATGTCCACTCAAACTCCATAATTAATAAAATGCCAACTATGGAGACCCTGAAAGAAACCAGAAACTGTATCTTTAAATAGAATCCAGAAATGCAGTTTCATAAATAGCTGCGTGTTCTCGGGTGTGCTTTTGCACAAAACCATCCTTTCTGATTGTCAGCTTCAAGAGTAAACCAATCACAGAGATCCCTCCTTCCCATTTAATATTCTACATATAATGTAATCTTTTTTTGCTTTGGTAAAATAAAAACAACGGGGAAATCTGAGTAAGGAAAGCACAGTAAATAACATGGGTGTTACCTTTTTTTTTTAAGAAATCTGAGCTGAAATGTAAGGCATCCCCCAAAGTATCTTTTTGCATATGCAAGGAATGCAGTCCTTTGTAAACAGAAGCTTGAGGAAAGCAATACTGAAGCCAAAGAACCTTCCCTAGGATCCTTCCGATGATCCCGTTCCTGGGGGAAGTGTTTTGGAACTACATCCTGTGAAGAAGAGAATCCAATTCGTTGTCATTCCATCCGTTTTGAATCGTGTAGCGGATTGGCTCGCCTTGAAGATCTCCAAATTAAGAGGGCCACGTCCAGGTTGATTCTCAAGAGCACAAGCTCATCCCAGAAGTCTATTTTTCTGGTACATCACTTTCTGTGGATTTCGTGGCAGCATCCCTACGGCTCGTGGATGCTGGCACAGCATTCCCACCGGTAACACTTCCCAGTGCCCGGGACTGACAGGGAGTGGGGGTTGTTTTAGTGGCGGGAAGTGTTTTAGATGAATTAGAGTGATGTCTGCGATGAGCTGAATCTTCACCTGTTGCAGCAACTACTCTCTTTCTGCCAGAGTCTTCACTAATAGGAGGCTGAAAATAAACACGGGCAGCCCGTCAGGTGTTTTGCTGTTAAGTCATTTTGCCTTTCCAAAGGCTTTAAAGGACTGAAAGGATTAGGCCCTTAGGATTTGGTTGAAATCAAGGACTGTTTTCAGGTTACCTCGCAGTAAAAATATCAGTACACCAAACATTTATTTAAAATGGGTATTGGAGCTTACCTCCACCCTGAAGTCCTCCAGTCTCTTGAATTTACTCAGGTATTCCTGCAGTTTAGGGTCCACGGCTGGTGTCTTGTACTGAGAGTACTTTAGGTATGCCCAAAATTTTTCCAGTCCATACAGCTGACCTAGTAATGGAAGAAGATAATTTTAGCAATTTACATACACCAAGTTTAATTCAAATTTTCATTATTCACTGGTAACTATATGTTTAGGGAGAACAGAGGATAAAAGATACAAACAAAGGCTGCGCTTGGGTTAGTTAACAAATCAGTGCCAAGGAACTGGGATCATCTCCAGCTAACATTACCCCAGTGTGAGCAGTGACAGGCCTGTGATAATTACCAGCTTCATAGTCCCTCTTTGTTTCTTCTTGGAAATCCTCGAATATTTCTTGCCTGAATTTCTTTTCCAGGCCATAGCTGTAAAATCTAAACAAGCATTCCAAGCCGTACCTGGAACAGAACAGAGAAGTACAAAAATGTACCTTGTGTCTTTGGCTCAGAGAAACAGAGGTGGAGAAGCTGGGAAAAGGGAAGGGAATAACATCCAAGACCTAAAGGGCAGCAGCAATTTCCTTTGTGGTCGTTTTTTCTGGTAGTTTTGTAAGGCAAGAACCGATCTGAACAAGTTGAATGAGATTAAGAATGTCTTCACCTACAGAAGGAAGAATCTTAGGAGTGTTAGCGCAGAGCTGACTTGTCACACAGTCAACAAGTTACAGGATTTTGTGGCATTCAGGATGGACTGCAAGTCAGGGAATGTTGCACATTTAGCTATTTCTCTGCAAAGCACAAATATATACTGATTTTCGTTATTAAAATACCTTATACACACCGCTATTTTAAAGATTTACAAACAGTCTAAGGCAACACCAAAAACACTTCAGATACACGTAAACTTCACAGCCATTAAAAGGAATGGTAAGGCCTCAACAGTTTTTAATTTCCAGGAAAAAATATACCTGCAGTGTTCTTTTGCATCCTCTAGAGCAAGCTGTTTGAATTCTTCATACATTTTCTTGTTGAAGTGATCTCTCAAAAAAAAGGACCAGAAACGAAAAAGTGTGTTCATTTCTTGGGACTGGCCAATTCCCAACCTTTTCCTCTCTGGAAGAAAAAACAGAAAGGGGAAACCAAAAGTACTATTTTACATCTTCGGCAGAGTATTTTCAAGTGCTTTTCCTTTAGTAAACACACACACACAAGACCTTCTGGTAACTGCAGTTCAAATTGGAGGGTATTTTTTTCGTCAGGGAATGTAAATTCAAATGGAAAGCAGAGTTCCTAAAACAGAAGCATCAAATAAATTTTGCTTTCCTTTCCCAAGGAAAATTAAGGATGAGGAACAACGTGAAGAAAACTGGTACCTCCTACCTAAAATTTTAGGACGTGCACGGAGCAGCTTACCCGTTAAACACCTTCGCCGGTATTTGTGGTACACCTGCTGGGTAAAGCCATTTTCCTTTAACAGTTCATGAGAAGGGTGCTGAAATTTTGGCAGAGAATTTGGGGTGCAGCCATAGCCTGCTAGAGGAGCTCCTTCTGAAGGCGAGGCATTGGAGCTGCTGAAGAGAAAAAGCAACACATTTCTGACCCAAAACCAGCTTTTCTCAACCCGTCTGTCTACCTTGCTTCTAGACAGCCCCGATTCCATGTTTTTGTCCTTCTTGATTACTTTTTCCCAGCTTCCACGGTATTTATAAATTGTCTTTTATCGCATCCTGTTTCTCTGTGAGAACTGAGAACTAACTGCAAACAAATTTTCCACAAAAACAACAAAATTTACCTCAGAGATGAAGTTCTAGGCCTGTGGTCCTTGGAATCCATCACCCAACCAACGTGGCATTCTAAGGGAGGATTTGTACTGTGGCGTGTTTTTCTTTTTCTAGGAGTCTAAGGAAGTAAATGAAGGATTTATTTCCCTAATTTGACTTCACTCATTCTCTCCCTCTTAAGACAGAGATCTAAAAGTTTCATGCACTAACGAGCTTTATAGGCTTTTTCTGTTTGTTTATTTTTTTAATACGTTTTTCCATTTACCTTTACATCCAAGGATCGTGCTTCTTTAACAACAGGGTAGAACCTGGGGGTTTTTTTGGGATCCTGTAGCCTTGGGGTGCGAGGTGTTCGCGGGATCAAGCCGGGGTGAAAATGGTGGGAATCTGGAACTGCTGTTGGCAGTGATCGAGCTATTCCTGCTGCTGGAGGTACTTCAGTACTTAGGATGTTACAAGTCAGCTCTTTTGCTAAATTGTGGAGGCAGGAAGGAGAAAGTGAGGTGGTTTTATTAAACTACTTCAGAGATGCTGTTAGTATGTAAGCTAGTAAATGTTAATACTGCTACTGAGAGATAAGAGAGAAGATTTGGACATTGTGACTGCTCAGTGAGGTTATGATACAAGTCAAAAATTCTTCTGATCTCACTTCCATCCCCGTGTCCCATAAAATTGCTGGTTTCTATAAAATGTTTCACAACATCAGTTTACACGTGGTAAAATCCAAATTACACAAAAAGCACCCGGTGGTGGCAATTCATTTACATGCTACCGAAGAACAGCTGACAGTTTGAAAAGCGAGCAAAGAAAGAGCCCCTCAGACTGCTAACTGAACCAAAATTAAGATTTTTAGACAGGCAGAAAGAGTTAAAACACCTACAGAGTTATTTATTCCAAAAGATTCTAAAAAACAAATACTTTTACTTACCTTTCTGTAACTCCGGAGGTCCAGGAGGAACTTCTTGGGTTGGATCAGCCATTTCTGGTGCAAGAATAACAAATTCTTCCTTACTAATGAGGTTTAGCTTCTTAAAGTTCTCAATCTCTTGCTGAATTGGAGAAATGAAATTGTAAATGCAAAGCAGGGTAACAGATATCATCCTGAGAAATAGGTGCATTTCATAAAGAGAAAGTAAGCCAGAATTAACACCTCAGTACCCATACACCTGCCTCAGGTGGGACACGTGTGTGTGTGCATGCTGTGCATGAAAAATCTTGTTAAATCATTGTCAAGACCATAACAACAACAACAACAAAGAAAATATTCTCTCTTGCTGTTTGCTATTTCTCACTGTTCTTTTCATGTTTGCTGTTTTTCTTGGTCCATTTCCTTTGTAATAAAAAAAAAAAAATCAAATCCATATTCTGAATTCTACGTTTATTTCTCGCTCTTATTCCCAACATTAATTTCTATCTTTGTCATTCTTGTTTTTCCGCTGCTCCAGTTGTCCATTAAGCCCCCTTCCCCTCACCACTTAGTGTTTAGGTAACTCCATTCCAACCATTATTCTAATAAACTACAAGGCAAACAGAACCTTAATATAAAACTACCTTAAAATTATTGTATTCCTTTCCTATCATTATCTCATTGTCCCATCTCCCTTCCCCTCTGGGTCAGCGTTTGCAGCTATTAGGAAACAAACTTTCAAAGAACAAGAAAACACTGGAGAACTTGAACCATGTCCAAAATGTTAAAAATAGTTCTAGGAAATATTCATTCTATGTTTTCGGTCAAGTCTGTGATAAGAAAAACTTGAGTTGGCTTTCGAGTGTAAAGACAATTCAACTGACCTGCAAATTACTGACACTTATTGTGTAGCATTTTACAACTACATAGCAGATGGCTGGGAACTGTTTGGACAGACATGGTTTTCAGGTCAAAAATTAGGAGAATTACCTTCATCATGGCCTCATTTTCACAATGATCCATCCACAAATCCTGTTCGTAATAGTACAAGCCGTCGTTAATGACTTTAGCGAGTTCTGATGTGATTTTTGCACGGCTCACGTGGTTTCCAGCATGGTCTCCACAAGGATGTTTTTTCACATATGGTGGTGTCTGTGTTACTATCAAAATCTTGTTTATGTCCTGATCATCAATTTCATAATCAGAATCGCTGTCTGACCAATCAGTAAATTTATTCTTCTGACCCTGAATTTGTTCCATCTCTTCATCAAACAAGAATTCAAGTTCTTCTTGCTCTTGTTCTTCCGGAGGTGGGGGTGGTTTGTGTTGATCTGCTGTTTGATCAGGTACAGGAACAGTTTCCTAAATTGGAAAAACTTTTATATTTGAATTGGATAGTGATTATCCAAACTGTATTGCATTATCAAGTACCACATATGTTGATGTGAAAAATCTCGGTTTACAGTATCATCTCAACGTTGGCATTTGTTTATTTAAAACATAACTTAAAGGGCTTTGATTTTACCTTTAGTTTGACAGTGGGTGCCCGATGCCTCTTCTTCACTTCTATCCAAGGCTCCGAGTCCAAATCGGGCAAACTCGTAGACAGTCCTTTGGACATTGTCTGAAAATTACTTGTTTCAGTGTTTTCCTTTGGACTCAGTGGGCTTCCCACTCTCGGAGAACTTGGTGCAGACTCTAGTAGTGGAAAACAGAAGTTCAGTTCATGTTGTGGATTGTTTTTCTAACTGTGTTTTTTTTTAATTGTTTCACTGGTCTCTCTTTTAACCACAGCTACCATTTTTTCTACCTCTCTGGTTAACAGTGATCAAAGAATTTCTTCTCACTTTCAGGAGATAGATTTTCACAGTTCACTCAACATTTCAGGATAAAATCAATTCTAAGAACTTATTCACACAGAAAGTTTCTAACAGACTGTGGGAAATTACGTGTTACTCAGAAAACAAGAGCAGTGTCATTAGGGATGTGTTTCCTCCATGCCACTCTCTATCTCCACGCATGGGTGGAGATAGATTCTTCTCATTTAATTCCAGACAACGTTTTAGTATAAAAATTTTCTTGCCAAGTGTTGTCAGCGAACAAAGCCATCTCCCTATTAATAATGTGAATGAGCTTCCCATCCAAAACAAGGACACACCAAAGAAAAGAGTCGACTTTCAGGTGCTACGAAAATGAAGCAGATTTTATGACTAACTTAAGATTAATATTAGGAATTCTGCAGGACTGTAGTCCATCATTTTATATTCTGGCCACAGCCAGAGACATTTTTATCTGCTTCGCATCAGACATGTGACTTGGCATGTGCAAGGCTGGCAGGCAGAGCAGCTGAATAAACCATTACCAAATGTACAACTTCTATTGTGAAATCAGTATCAGGAGGCAAATTTCCTAAGCTAGGCAGACACTCCTAAAATTATGTTTCTATACAGCAAATCCTTTACCAGTGTGTGAGCCAAAAAGCTGTCCTGGTATGAATTCTGGACAATTGATGAGCTGAGAAAAGTCAGTTGGAGGCAGGCTGCATGGAGGAGGACCTGGAATTGGCCACTTTTCTGGATCAACCCTTTTTCTTAGTTTCTGATCCACAGTTTCCACTTCTGTGCTGTCCTTCAGGGCCTGTGTGACAAACATACTTTAAAGCCATCCAAAAAAAAAAAAAAAAGAAAAAAACCACAAAAACACAACAACTTGGCCATTTATAACCTCTTTATAAATCCTTGTAATTACAAACAGGAATTTTTCTTAACTCACAGCACTAACTTTAAATGGCAGCATAGAATTAATCAAGCAGCTTCCCACATACATACTTGTGACTGATTTTACCTCCAAAATGAGGGCAGCATTCGTAGTCAGAGCTTGCATCCGACGGAAGCTGGCGATCAGCGAAACAGGCAGGAACCCTTGTTGGTCCATCTTTCTCCTCAGGAAGAAGTCTCTTTCCAAATTCTCTGTGCTGAAATAATACTCACTGCAGAACGAAACACACAAATCTGAGCTTATTACGGGTTAAACGAAATCCCGAAAGAGCAACTTAAGATTCCTTATTATTAAAGTCTTCCATTTAAAACAAACAGACAAAAATCACTCTTCAACAGTTGCACCTTTTCAGCAAGACTTAAGAGAGCAGCAAGGATGCTTGACAGAGTAAGACAGACTTTTGACCCAGCACAGCACAGCAGGGCATAAATCAAAGCCTTGTTACATTTGCATATATGAACTACATAACCAAAGCCTACGCTCCGTTTTTCTTTCACCCACCCCCTCCCTCGTTACTTACATGAAAAGAAGGAAACAACATTCTCTTGGCCTTCATACAGATGAAGGACAAGCACTGCTTACAGGCTGGGTGTAAGTTATTTCCCACACAGCACTATCAGTGCACCTTCATCCTGAACCACATCTTTTATTGTCTCAGTTTCCAGTGCATTAGAATGTTTAAGCGTCCTATCTGAGTGTTGAGGCACACACACATATATATATATAGATAGATATATGTATTCTGAATCATCAAGCACGCTCGTGGGAAGATGGGAAAACAAAAATAGTAATGCTGTACTTGTCATGAAACTGTACCAAAAGGCACAACAGTTCATGGAGGGAAAAAAAAAAAAAAAGTCTAAAAGAAGAGATGATGATTAGTGTATAAAGAGGGATAGGGCGTTTCAGGAATCTGATAATACCACAGAACGAGAGAGACGAGGGACAAACAGCAGAAAGACAAATCTTCAACAATGAAGCTGCTCTAGGAAATGATCAGGGTGTCAAGATGTTTTACACTCAGTGAAGAGAAAAAGTAAGGCATTCGAATCGTGATCTGTCACACAGAGCAAGGGAATGAGAAAACATCCTATGAAAAAAGAATGGAGAAAAAATCCAATTTAATCACGACGACTAAAATCCAGGCCTTTCACAGAGCTTACACATCACACCATGATTTTGCACGTTTCATCCAAGGAATATTCCTCACTGCGCTCAGGGAAACGCAGGTAGGGAATACAATTCTATGACATAAAAACAGAGGTAGCGCAAAAAGAAAACAAAAAGGGTTTTAAAATGCTGAGGAAAAATGCCACACAGGCAAATAAAGGTAATTCTAATTTCAATAACGTGTAAAACACTCAGGCTCTCCACTGAAGTTGGGATCAAGGCCAAAGTTACCAAGAGGAGGGCACTCTGAAGCCATCATCGACCCAAGGAGCACCTTGATACCATTTCTTTCTCTAATTTTTTTGTAGTTAAAAGAAATTTGAAGCAAAAGCTGACTATGTGAAACACACAGAATCACACACAGAACATTCTGAGTTGGAAGGGACCCCCAAGGATCACCGAGCCCAACTCTGAAGTGAATGGCCAGTGACCTCGGTGTGATTAGCACCACGCTCTAAACCAACACTCAGCTCCAAGACAGAATGAATATAAAGCCTCACAGTTGGACAACAAGACAGGACAAATGAAAACACTGCTATTAAATCAAAGCAAACAGAGAAGAGAATAAGGGTTTTGGAGAATTGAGCTCTTACTCAGAGCTAAGTATGATCAGTGAAGCAACTGTGCACAAAGAGCAAGTCGCCTTCGAGAATATCCTATTTACTGTTCTGAGCTGCTACATATTCCTTTTCCCCTCCCAGTCTAGAAGATAAGCAAGAACAAATGCCATATACCAACATTTTACTAATGTTACCTTTACAGTCATACAGTAAAGGTAAAATCTTGTAACGATTCACCTAGTTAAAAATTCCACAAGCAGAAATGGACAATGACTGAACTTGACTCAAACTGCCTCACTTGATGTTCATCACTCTAGAAAAAGGAATGTGAAAGACCATTAATGATAAATGAAGACAATGCACAAGTTTGCTCCAAGTAGAGGGACAAACCTAAACACACACACCCCCCCTCCAGCTTTTTTCTTCTTCCTTTTTCTCAGAGTCCGTTTGCTTATTCTTGAATTAATATTTGAGCTTTCATTTATTTCTTTGTTTTCTAAAGCAAGAGGACTTTTTAAATAAAGTTCTGCATTTTGCAGACTGAGAAGTTGCTAAGCACTGAAACTTTTCAGTGGCAACTGACAACTTCAGCCTGTAATTAAGAACATAGAAGGTATTTCTGTGTGCAGTACAAATAGTTCTCTCTTGTACATGAAGCTGGTTCCTGGGACAAGCATAAGCTGCTTGATAGCAGAGTGTTTTTTCCTGTAATTACACATCAACTCAGTGGGACACAGTCTCTAGGATTTTTCCCTGTTAGGCAGGTGAACTTTTAAAATTTATCCATTCATAAGGATTCAATCTCAGTTCTTTAATATATCCTAAGTTATCTCGCACTCCCTAAGGAACTCTGAGAGCTAACAGATTTGTGTAGCTTTATTCTGTAAATACTGCCTTCTTTAGCATATTCACGTTAATATTCTATAGCTAATTATGAAAGGCAGATAAAGCCACCCCCATTTAGAGGTTAATGATAAGTAACTGATGAATAAAGTCTGTTTCCCATAATTTTTATTGTGATAAAAGAAGTGAATAGATTAAAAAACCTTTTTTTTTTTTTTTTGGAGCATAAAAACAGTGAAATTATGTTCTAAACCTGCTCAAGAATCTCTCTCTCTCATGGAAAGCAAACTCCATAACCAAACTGCCTGAGGAATTCACATCAGGCAAGCTACCGATGGCTGTGGTTTGCCAGCCACGCCGAGTCTTCTATCAACACCTGCCACCCTCTTGGTGCTAAAATAAAATACAAATATACCCAGAAGTCAGATGTGACCGAGGCTGTTAACTGACATTTTTCTCAGCAGAGGGGGGACATCATCATGTCCTACCTTAGAAGGTCTGGATTCTACACTGCATGCCCAGAAATCTGGCCAACAGTGGAGTGGCTGTGCTCCTCCCCCACTTGTCTGAGGACAGTGCAGGCCGATTATCCTGACATGGCAGTAACATGTCCACTGTCAGGTCTCATAGGGGGGGCCTGGCAGCAAGAGTAACAAAAAAGACTGCAATAGAAGTTTTGAAGTTGAGAGCCACATGTCAGATACTTTCTGCCCTTAAAGAGGCTTTTTCTCTTCCTTTTTGCGTCAACTGCAACAAAAGAAGCGAGAATAAAATAAGCAAGTTGCTGTATGGAGTAACAAGGGCAATCAAAAACCACCACAGAGGCATCGCAGAGAAATGCCGTTGCGAGCACTGGGGATGAAATATCTGCCAGTGGTGGAAACTGTCTCTTTAAAATGAACTAGTGGCTTCCAGGCCCTTTTTGACTTGTCTCCTGGTGATAATCAGTCTTCCAGATGGTTTCTCATTGCCTAATGGTGTACACGAGAAAGTAAACATTTCAGATTATTGAAAAATCAAGTATCATTGCAAAACTACTCTCTTTCAGTTACATGTTTCAGGTGAAACACACTGAAAACATAAAACTAACAAGACTTCTCAAAGTGAAATCGAGAGCAAATAAGGAAAACGTCACCCAAGAAGAGCTTTATAGGCAAACAGACCAACAGTACTCAAAAGCACAAGCTCAGAGACATCCATATCTCAATTACATGACAACATAAAAAGGGCTGTGTACCATAAATAAAACAGGCATACAAGTTAAAGCCAGGCTATAGCACAAGATGCAGAACAGCTTCCTTAAAATTCCTCCCCATTACTCAAGTTTTTCCACCCCAACAGTGAATAAATTCGAGCTGACACTGCCAATGGTCAAAGTTAACTCAAAAAGTTAAACTGAGATGCCCTAATCTTCATCTGGGTATGGGTAATAAGGATCCAACACTGTTTGAAATGAATTATTTTATATTAACTAGGTCTCTAAAAATATTTATACGTTAAGCAATCTACTTACATTTGGTGTTTTATATATTCTTTGAGAAGCGCTTCGTCCACAGAATACATCTGCACTCCTGTTCCGTCACCATAGTAATACATCACACCACTGTTAAGCTCAGGCTGAAATACTTGGTCAATTCCTTCACCATACAGTTCTTGATAACCAACTGAATACTCAAAGTTCACTTCAGAATAAAGGAGAACATAAAAGAATAACATTAGAAAAAGAAAACAGTAACATCACAAACATAGTTTTAAATTTTTATCTAAGTGTCTATTTCTTTGCGTACTGCTGGGGTTTCCTCTGCTTCTTCCTCTTCCTCTGCCTCTCCCTCTTCCTCTGCCCCTGGAGAATCCTCGGACGCTGCCACCTTCACTCCTCACACTGCACACATCGTCGTGGTCGTCTCTCTTCTCTCTATCACGACGCCAACCTTGAAGAGAAAAAAAAAAAAAATAAAATCACATCACAATTAGACACCATGGTGCCAAAAAATCCCTTGTAACAGAAGAGTTCTCAGTTTGCACCCAGGCAATCCACAGACCCAGCTGTGCTGGCTGAGGCAGGTGGTCAGAGCTCGAGCTGCAAGAGACAAAAGGGAAGGTTTGCCAGCCATGCCTGAGGGTGAGTCAGGCAGGAGGTGTTAGCAATGAGGAGGAGTAAATGGGCTTCACTGGCAGTCAATCCAAAATGCAACCCAATACAGAGTCCTCCTGCAGATAACTCCTAGCTAAAAAATCATAGAACTGTAGAATGGTTTAGGTTGGAAAGGACTGTAAAAGACCATCCAGTTCCAACCCTCCCTACCATGGGCAGGGACACTTTTCACTGGACCAATTTGCTCAGAGCTCCACCTAACCTGGTCATGAACACTTCCAGGGACGGGGCATCCACAACTTCTCTGGGCAACCTGTTCCAGTGCCTCACCACCTTCATAGTAAGGACTTTTCTCTTAATATCTAATCTAAACCTACTTGCTTTCCATTTAAAACCCTTTGCTCTTGTCCTGTCACTATGTGCTCTTGTGTAATAGTCCCTCTCTGTCTTTCTTACAGGCTCCCTCCAGGTACTGGAAGGCCACAATTAGGTCACCCCGAAGCCTTCTCTTTTCCTGTCTGAACAAACCCAATTCTCTCAGCCTTTCCTCACAGCAGAGGTTCTCCATCCTTCTTAATCAACTTGGTGGTCTCCTCTGGACTTGTTCCAACAGGTCCGTGTCCTTCCTGTGCTGGGGTCCCCAGGGCTGGAGGCAGCACTGCGGGTGGGGTCTCACCAGAGCAGAGCAGAGGAGCAGAATCACCACCCTCCACCTGCTGCCCACACTGCTTTGGATGCAGCCCAGGGTACAGCTGGCTTTCTGTGCTGCCAGCACACATGGTTGGCTCATCCATCTGCACCTCCAAGTCCTTCTTGGCAGGGCTGCTCTCAATCTGGTCATCCCTCAGCCTGTGCTGATGCTGAGGGTTCCCCTGATGCAGGTGCAGCACTTTGCCCTTGGCCTTGGAGGTTCCCTTGGGCCCACTTCTTGATCTTGTCCAGGTCGCTCTGGATGGCTTCCCATCCTTCAGGCGTGGCAACCACACCGCTCAACTTGGTGCCATCTGCCAACTATTGGGGGTGAATCGATCCCTTTGTCCAGCTCTTGATGATCCTACTGGGGATGGGATTCCCATGGCAACTGTTACGTATATAAAACGTTAATTACATTAATTCTCACTTCACTCATGAGAGGAAAGGAAGCCTCTCTCACACAATTTCCTTCTCTTTTCCTAACACTGTTAGAGATTTCCATGCTCAGTTAGTGACCTTTGCTTAAGGTTTCTTTAAGTTGTAACTGGATAGTCTTCCAGGTGCCAAGGGACCACTCTGTCAGAGAAATGCTGAAGATACAGCCCCTACTTGATCAAAATGAGAATTGCTCAGTTTAAGAAAGGACTGACTAAAGATATGGTTCTTTGAGTTAAAAATCTTGTTTTACTATTTTTAATGAACCCTACAACACATGTACGCTCATGTAGCCAAGTCATGTATTTGCTGTCAAATAAGACTCTGAATTTACAAATATCATGATCTGTATGTGTGTGTCTCACTGGAAATTTGGATCTGTGCACTTGTTGCCCTCAACCTTCGAGATTCCAAATGCGTATGTATTATGCGAACTATTTTCCCAAATCAGTTTAATTTTTGCACCCCAGAGAGTACCTGTGGCTCAGACACACACTACACCTTCATGAGCAAGTGTTGCATTTAGCCTGAAATGTTTTGGTTTTGTTTTTTTAATTTAAAAACAATGTTTCTGAAAAGACCAAGAGGTATTTTACGTTCTCACCCACTGAAACTGGTCTTGAATCACTAGAGCCTTGAGGCAGAGTTCACACTACAGGTTTCTGGTCATTTGACCATCCTGAGAAAAAACTGCTCCAGAAAGTGTTAACCAGTAAAAATCTTCCCCCTGTCCATTCCTCAGACATCCAGATCAAACCCTTATACTCACATTCCTAAAATTACTTCATAAATTCCATCTCAGTAGCACGCAGTACTTAATATAACGAGCCAACATTTAAACTCTTAACGTATATTAAAACGCCATTTTAAAACTTAAACCAAAGACTTACATTCAGCCTAAGATTTCTGCCACCTGACAAGATAACTTTCAACATAAACTACCAGCTCACGTGGTGCTTATTAGACTTTATTTGCCACCGACAGCAAGACCCAGAGATTGAGAAGCACTCACTTCTTGCCTCGTTCCGTCTGTTGTTATGAGGTATTGACTTGTTTGTTTCCAGCAGAAATCTGGAGCTGGTCCGAGAGCCTGGTCTTTCTTGGCTGCCCGACCTTACGTCGTCCAAATGAAGCGGCACCCATTTCTGCTTGTTACCTTGAAAAGTTAATATTTTACTCTCAATTATACCAATATTTGAGTTTTTTCAGCCTCTGAAAGGATTCTGTAGAATTCTTCACGTAAAACTAGCAACGGGTAATTTCAAAGTTTAAAAACCAGGAGAAGCTTAACAGTGAAATTTTTAAGGTATTAGGAATGATTAAATAATAAATTCAGTAAACAAGAATTTCTCAAACTGAAATGTAACCTTACCTAACCTTTAAATACACAAAATAAAGGTCAATCTTTTTATTTAATGAACTTTCAGATGTAAGTTTCATTACCAAGAATTTATAGTATATGTAACTGTAAATAGTAAATATGTTACTATACAATTTCACAATTTGCATATGAAATTTAGAGGTAACAAAATAACATCCAAAGTTAACCAGAACAATAAAGATTTCAATCACAAACTCTAAAAATTTTCCCGAGACTTTAGCTGTGGTACTGTATTTTCACCTCAAAGTATTTAGATTGAGTTCATTCACATGCATTAAAAATCAGTAGCAAAGCTTTATTTTGTTGTAGGCTGGCCTAAAATGTCCACTACCCATTTTTTATTTAACTATAATATCAATTATAGTTAAATTTATTTAACTCTCTCTGCTGTTTCTCCAGCCTTCTCCAGTCTCCTGACCAAATGAGACACAGGTTTGTTTCCCAATTTTAATGTAACAGACTGAATCAAAAGGAAATAAATAACCTGGTTTAGTTTTCAAATGATCACTTCAATATGTAAGCTAATAACAGAACATGAAAACCAAAGTGTTAGTATATAGAGTAACACATGCACACACACACATATATATATTTATATATTAAGTTACATTAACATAGTGCTACCTATTTAGGAAAATAAACATAGGAGAGACAGTAATGGCCTGTACAGCCACGCTAAAATCGTCAAGAAATTGTCAGAACTCCAAGGACCATCAGTAGGACACAAGCTGCTTTTCTCCCAGAATTCCTACTCTAGAACACTCCAAAACATGAGAAAGGAAGCCTTTAGGTTTAAGCTTCCTAGTGGAAAGCAGAAAATACTCTGTTATCACCTTAGAAAATGCAGAACATGAAAAGTTTCATCAAGTCATTCCACTGGAGTCAACGTAACTGTATCAGCAATGACTTACTGCATTACACACAGTGCCCACACTGACCTTTCTTCCTTTGGTTGTTAGTTTGAGCTTCATCTTCACTAGTGTTATCTGCCAGACCATCTGGCTTCGCCTCTGGATTGTCCTTGATTCCATTATTGCTTTTTTGATCAGATTTCTCCTCCTTTTCTCTTCTGCTTGTTGGCTTCTTACTGTGACTTACAGTCTTACACTGCAAGAGACACAGGTAATTATTTCTGACAGCACAGCTGCTGATAGCAAGAGGCACACGTTCATTTCCTTTAGCTATTAAAATTCCTTTATTATTACCTGTCCTCAACCTCTTCAGCAGGGCGAGTTTTAATAACTGTTTTGTAAAGTCTCACTTTAAATAATTTTATTTTCTGCTAATTCGGCAAGACTATAAAATTAATCTTTAGAGTAAGAAAGTTTTTAACAGAAGATGTAAAATTACAGAGTGCACAACAACAGTGTTTCAATCCCTTGTTTCATAGGAAAGAAAGGAATATTCTGATCAGTCCCAAGACTGATTATCTTTAAAAAGCTGTGCTCACAGAATACTGAACGGTAAATCAGAAATCCCCATGATGCTGTACAATCTTAACAGCCCAGTGTTCGTGTAAACCTTAAGGAGCCATTAGGTCTTAACTCCTACAACTGTGTTCTACTAAAACAGAACATGACTCAAACATCAGAGGATGTGGAGGTGTGTGATCACAGATTTGTTTCTTTTCCCCACATCAGACTATGGCGTTTACTGGGAACTGTATGCCTTTGAGTAGTGCCAGCATACTGCCAATCGCCACTTCCTGGAGATCCCACACAACAGGGAGGTTTCAAAGGCGGCAAAATGACCAGCATTTCAGCAGAGAGTGGGAAGTTTAATTTATCCCTGGTACCAATCCAGGCTGGGGCATGAAGGGAAAGTGAGCAGAACCTGCTGAGAAGGACTTGGGGGTGCTGGTGGATGAGAGGCTGGCCATGAGCCAGCAAGGTGTGTTTGCAGCCCAGAAACCAAACGTGTCTGGCAGCAGGTCGAGGCAGGGGATGCTGCTCTTTTGCTCCAGTCTGGTGAGACCCCACCTGGAGCGCTGCATCCAGCTCTGGGATCCCGAACATAAGGACATGGAGATGCTGAAGCAAGTCCAGAGGAAGCCAAAAAGATGGTAAGAGAGCTGAAGCACCTCTGCAATGAAAACAAGCTGAGAGCTGGGGCTGTTCAGCCTGGAGAAGAGAAGGCTTCAGGGAGACCTTATTGTGGCCTTTCCATAGTTAAAAGGGGATCATAAGACGGGGATGGATTTTTTAGCAGGGCCCGTAGCAACAGGGCAAGGATAATGGTTCAGTAATAGTTTTAAACTAAGAGAGGGTAGGTTCAGACAAGATAGAGGAAGAAATGTGACATGATGAGGGTGGTAAAACAGTGGCACAGGTTGCCCAGAGAGGTGGTGGAAGCCCCACCTCAGGAAACCTTCAAGGTGAGGTTGGATGGGGCTCCAAGCCTCTTGGTCTAATGGAAGATGTCCCTGCCCATGGCAGGGGGGTTGGACTAGAAGACCTTTAAAGGTTCCTTCCAACCCAAACCATTCTGTGATTAGATATAACATTCACGTGCAAAATGAAGTGTTGCAGAGGTTTCTGCCAAAGAGAAAGGATTTTCCTGCGTTGTGGAGACAGCTTTGAACCTGCTGGAGTACATACAGCAGATGCTGCAGTACTCCACTGTACTTAATTTGATCACAAAGCCTTCCCCTAGACACAACTGAGTTTAAATACAAACAAAGTGTTACTTTGTTTTACAGACTACATGAATTTGGACACTTTCAATTACAAAACGCACGTTGAACCCAAACCCACGAACCCAAATGTTCTGGTTTCCCTCACCAAGAAAACGGTAAAACCATCAGAGGGATGCTGATGCACAGCTACAGCAGAGTGAAATGTTATCACCCACAATAATCTGTGCTCTCTTCTTGTTTCAAATAGCATCAAAGAGATCTCAAATATATTATGCATTTATCACTTGAGATAAAGGGAAGATAATTTGATGGAATAGATGTTAACTTAAAATCCAAAAGGGGGAGGAAAATATACCAGAGGATAACTAAGCTGCCTTAAGACAACAGGCACAAAGTACTCTGAGCCCTAAGAGAGGGCAGCGTGTTCACAACTCCAAAAGCCTCCTCATCTGTGCATAAACAGATGAAAACAGCAGAAAAGGTAAACAGAACTTTTAAATCAGCGGAGTAAATGAATATGGCACGTTGCATGTCCATGGTACACCACCAGAGATAAACAGAGTGTATGGTGTGAGCTTGTGAAGGGTTCAGAGGTTCCACTACCAGTGCTGACAGTCAAGCACGCAACAGTATCCTGAATTATCAGCAAAAGTTCTGCTGAAACCCTACAGCACCAAAAGCACGCTCTGGCAGTATTAAACAGGTAAGTCAACATGGCTTTAAAAAAAAATTAATACCGAAGATAACAAAGGATACTCACTTCATTGTTTGCTATTTCGCTTGGTGTCGGCCAGTTCATGATATCACCAAAATCATCAGCCTGCAAAGATGGGAAACAGTTTCTATTACCTCCTTGATTTAGTCCTTTTTAACACACAAAAAACATCAGTCGTGACTCAGATGGCCAGACTACCCCCTGGAGCAGAAAGGTTAGAAGCAGCGGTTTTAAAAGACAAGAAATGCAACAGAAGACAAAGGTACAAATTTTGAAAGAGGTCTTATGACTTTTGAGCAGACACAAACAATTGCCAGATTAAATGTGGTCTTACACATACCTTCCTACTTGATTTAAAGGTATCTACTGCTTAAGGCTTTTAGTTTTTGGAAGACCTTTGAGGACCAACCTAAAAAAGGGGTGGCTGTGCAAAATTTTAGAAACTTAATTTTTCAGTAAAAGGATTCAGCATTTCCTTGTTCTCATAATGGTAATTTTATGCATATAAAGGACACACATCACATAATATGCAAAAAGGATTTCCAAACCCAATCTAGCACCGCTTGTGCTCAAATGATGCTGTTCCTTTGCAGCCCCTTCTCCTTTTTATGGAAGCCTACTGATTTTTTAAACAGAGGCACTTTTCTTTATTCCTTGTGCATACATCAATCCAGCATCCCTCCTCATTTTAAATTTCCCTTCCTTTTTTATTTGTCTCCGTCTTCCAAATTATCTGTTACCAGAGCAGAACGTAACACTTCCGGTTGTAACTTCAAAATACCTCGTTATCTTTTTATTTCGCTACTATCAGCTATTTACCATGTTGAATATTTACAGCCAGAAACACAAACCTTGCTGCATTTCCTTGTCCTGGGTTTTGCCGCTTTTATAACTACGGTGGAATTTTTGAGTTCTGAAAAGGAAGGAAAAATATTTTCAGGTGAAGAATTCGACTGCACTTCAAATGAGTAAGTTAACAACTCCATTTAACCACCTGTTATACTACACCAAAGGTTTTTTTGAGAGGCCTCGATATCAAAGTCAATAAACATTTCCATAAAGTCTGAAAAGGTCACATTTAAATAGGTGCAAATACTCTTGAAAAGCAGGTGTACAAGATACTTCCTAACACTGTATTTAGACATTTGTTCAGCTAATAAGGTCAAGACTGTCTCAAAATGATGGTATTTTAACTAAAGAACTAGCAAAGAAAATAAGCCCCCGAAGCACATTTAAGAAGTGCTCCTAGTAGAAACTATATTTATAAGATAGAATTTATGAAATCTATCCTTATGTAAGCATGCCCCACAGAAGCAATTACATATTCCCAAATTCCTAGTAATTTCCTTTTATAAGTAATTACTCAAATGCCAAATGAAGTTCAGCCATACGGCTCAGAGTCAAACCAAGGCAATTAAAAAAAAATTAAAAGAGAAAATTACTATAAAACTACATTAAGACTGATAAATTTTAATGCCCAAATTCCACAATGGATATGTTTATGATAAATATGACCATTTACAATAAGCTGACACATACATTTTCAGACCCATGTTAAATTAAGGTCTAAGCTTCATAATGATGATCCCACTTGATCTCCTAAACAAGAGTCACTTATACTTCTATCAGAAATTATTATAATGCTTGGAAAAAACTCTCTCATAAGCAATGCTATTTGGCCTAACAGTCTGGGATCCATAACCTACACTGGGGAAAAAAAATTCTATTTAAACTTTCTATGTCTTAACACATGTGCAATTACCCTTCTGTATATGAATCCGATTTTCTTACTCTGTGTAATTTTCCCCTTCCCTTCTCAATTGCGTTCTACTTTCTGCATCGGGAATTCAGGGGAAGAAAACCCATTACTACCTGCCAATTCTTCTTGGAGATTAGAACTGAGAGTTAAGAGGAAACCATCTCTTAACTTCTGTTAAGGCCTGGTTATCCCAATGCATGTTTTTCCAAACAGAAGTGGTCACAACCATTCCTTGAAACTCTTCAGTATTTTACTGCGAGACGAGCTTGAAACACTGAGCACGACTAATATCACCACTGGATTATTTAATACAGGGATAACATCACCTCCTCAACCTTTATCTCTTCCACATCCAGTGACTAATCTTCCTTATCACAGCTTCACACCGGGAACCCCACCCTCATTCCTCAGCGACTCTGAAAAGCCTCTCTGCCTGCTTCCTGGAATACACTGCGAATGTCAGAAGCACGAGATAATGCACACTGCACATTCTGCTGGAAATTTTAATACAGTTTATAGTTATCCAAATTATATTTCATGGGTATGCCATATGCAACTTGCACACCTCACAGGACGTCAATTCAGCGAATCCTGTTCACCTCGGCCACACCGTTTTTACCAGCAGGATTCGCCTCTTCTGAGAACCTACTTTTTAAAACAAAACACACACCCCCTCAAACTGCCTCTTTCGTGTCGTTCAGCCTCAATAATTAACTTTAGACTGAGAGCTTTTAGAAACATACGGTGATAGTGTAATCCTACTTTTCACTTGTCATTCAGTAGTAAACTAATTGGCCTTTACAAAACAAGGCAAACGGCTGCGGGGGTGGAGCAGCAAACAAATTTGTAATTTTCTCCGAGAGAACTGCCACTTACCTGCACAGGTAAACCGACTGGCCATAGCATGGCTGTGAACACACACCTCTGCCCAACTACCTTACTGAAGCCCTTTTTCCACCTCACAGCACTTTTCGCTTAAAATTGCTGCTGCAGGACTGCCCTGTCAGAACTTCTGCTCTGTGTGTCACTAGGGCGTAGCAAAGGATTCAAAAATGTAAGACTCGATGTTGCTGCTCTATCTTAGTCATGGGATATTCTGCCAGGCGGCAGAAGAGGCTATCTGATTCTAAGGAATCTCTTCTATCTGAATGGATAGGGAAAGACTTGGAAGATGCATTTGCAAACTAAACAAAAAGAAGATTAACATTAGGCAACGCACCGCCTGGCTGATGATGCCCTTTCTGAATTCAAAGGCTTGATATCTGATCACACTCTGAACTTCCCTACCTGACAACAAATCCACAGAGTTCCTTGTCCTCCCAGCTGAACAGATCTTTCCTGGCTGGCTTTCTAGGACTTAGCACGCGGGAGCTGCATTTTAGCGTGAAGCATGAAAGGGAAGATAAAGGGGAAGGAAAAACAAGAAAGGAGGGTGGGAGAGTAAAAAAACGTAACAACTGATCACTTAAAGGTTTTACTCAGGTCACATCTGTTCTGTTGCCGTGAACAAGCCTAAAGCCACTGTTCAGGCAAAACTTTCTCTAGACTGTGTTCAGATAAAACCTCTGTGCTTAACATCACTCCAGGTTTGGTTTCATCATCACAGAACAGCGCTGAGTGCCCAGAAATGGCACCTTTAGCACATGGCTCCAGCAGAATTCAGTAAGTCCTTCCAAAACAACTATTTCAACTATTATACTATATAACTATTCCAATCTAACTGTATTAAAATGGTTTATTCTGTCATATGCTACAAGGAACCTGTTTACTAATGGCATGTTGTGTTGATAAAAGAATTCAGTTATCTTCAATGACTTTCCTTGCCGGGTTTCAGCTGAGTTTAGAGGGTGTGGGAGAAACTAAAGAAAGTCAAGGACGTGGCAGTTTAATTGTCAGTGATCTTCTTTCAATCGCTGAACTCCATCCAGCAGAGATGCCATCCACATGAAAACAGAAATCAGCTTTCAAAGCCATTTTTATTATGGTTCTTTCAAGTCTCTTAGTAGACCATCCTAATACAAGGTATTTTCTGTAGAAAGACGTGGCTGTGCAAACATGCCAAGTGCAGTATGTCAAGACACACGGAATAAAAGGTCTGAAAAATGAAAAATAAATTCTGGAACCATCAAAACTGCAGCAATCCTCTGGGACAATGACAACAGAGAAGGAAAAGCAAACTGGGTGGCCGTGCAGAGATAAGAGGAGCAAAGTTTGTACCTAAGATGTATCCCCAAAGTACTGCTGATCACAAGACAAACTACACTCACAGTAGCAGGACTTCAGAATGGATGGTTTGAAGCTCTGCAAATAACTTGTCAGCAAGTAATTTTTCCTGATGAATAAGGAGGGGATGATGCTGCCAATTTGTTCCGAAAGCAAAGTCTATTCATAATTGGTGGAAGGTGGAACACATTCTAATTTAGATACAAGCACAGTTTATGCTGCGAGGCTTTCTAGACAATATTCAAGTTTTATTTTTACTTGGACTGCATGTGGGTTTCCTTTTGTGAAGGAACAACACCACATAAATACCAGAAGTGCTTCAGGGGGCAGCTGAAATCACCCTGCAAAACAGCTCTTCAAAACTTGAGTGGAACATGTTTGTTTAACTGGCACAACATTTTCTTTTCAATGCTCAGTTTGAAACTTGACAGTATCTTCCATTTTTAAACAAGGTAAGCTGTGCTTGATCTATTGTTTTAACAGATAAACGTGAAAGTATTGCAAATGTGACAATATAATCCCTTGGAAAATATAATAATTTAAATCTAAAGCATGGATTTAGAGCCAAGAGTCTGAGAAATAATAAAGGAATCCCAGTTATTATGCTACCATCCTGTTCTACAATAGTTCTAGTATTTTATAGCAAAAACTACATTAAGATTGACCTTCTCCACACCACTTGAACAACTAACCAAGGCAGTGAGTTATGACACCTGCATCCTTCCACCGCTCAAAACCAGTCAGTTTTTCAATACAACAAACAATAGAGAAAAAAAGCCCATAATACATGATTGATTCACCATTATACTATTTATTTTCCTTATATTTAATTTCTCAACGTGTTTTTTTTCTTAGCTTCTACCCAGAAAGCTGCAACTTCTGACTCAATTTCTGCCAAAGTTTCACGGTCTAAAAGGAGCACATGTTAGAGCACAGAGAGGTGGCTTTCTGTCTCATAAGGTCTCCAGTTACAAATTTTTCTTTTAAAAAAACGCCAAAATCCACCACACAAAAATACACATTGTTATATACAACTAAAATACATACAGCAGCTTGTAAAGATCATGTTTTCAATCCCTTCAGGGGTTGGGGTAACTGTCAATATCATACCTTCTGATAATTCTTGGAATAATTTTTAGAAGCTGCTGTTAAAACATTCAGTGTATTCATAAGAACCTGTCTTAGATACACTCAAAAAATCTGATAATCAGATAATTTACAAATTTATTAATCCAAAGCTTGCCATTCCTGGCAACTCATATATCTTTACTAAACTGCACTTTTACAACCTGTTTTGCTATCAGACTAAAGCAAATTAATTTACACAACAGCACTACAGTGAACTGGTTCTGCTACCAAAATATCAAATAGATAAAACGTATTTTTTGATGCTCAGAAATAAACGCAGGGAAGAAAGACAAACTGAGCACAAAATAAAGGAATGAAGTGTGTGCCTGTTTTAATTAACTACATCATTCAAGCACACTAGGAAGCAAACCCACTTTAACCACTCCATCAGCACAAGTATTTTGCTTCACTGAATATTTTCATAAATTTCATCAGCAACTTTTGAATAATTATCTGTTAAGTCATTAAGAGACCCACATCAGCTACACAAAGACTAGAGAACCTGCCATTCAGATTCTCTTCTGCAACCTTACATGAAGGGCAATGCTTGAGGTCCCATCAAAGAGGTGGGAGAACTTCCAAAATAAAATTATTTCAGCAACTTCATCCTGGACAAATGATTTATGCAGCAGACAGGTAATTCACAGTTTTGGCCTGAAGAACCTAAAATTTACTGCAATATATTGGCTGGGCACTATGATGGGAGACAAGGGAAGGAAGGCACGTCACAGAAGGGCCTTTCATCATTTGACAGCCTATGTTACATCTAATTCTGTCCACAATCACCAGGACTAGAACCACAGAATTATTAAGGTTGGAAAAGACCTCCAAGTCATCAAGTCCAACCTTTGAATGTCACCTTGTCAACTAAACCATGGCACTGTCACACCCAGTCATTTCTTGAACACTTCCAGGGATTGACACTCCACCACCTCCCCCGAGCAGCCTGTTCCAAGGCTTGACCACCCTTCCAGTGAGACAATTCTTCCCGAATTAGACAGAAACCTATTAATTTCACTAGCAGTTTTATACTGATACGAGTCTTTCTCCAGGAGTTTAATGCAAATTAGACGTAACAGTAGCTGTATGATTCTGAAATTATTCTACTTAAAAAAGAAGTCAAACAAGAGGCCTAGTCAGAAACCCTGTGGTAATGAACATCCAATGCACAATTTAGATATGTTTGCACTGGGTGTTTGCTTTACTATAACTATTAAAACCTACCAACGTATTTGAGACAAAAATATGACAGGTTGTAGTAACAACACCAAATCCTTCTGCCAAAATCTTAAGTCTTTTACGTTACATTTTCCTTCTAGAGTCAGGTAGCACTACAGTTTATTTCACTAGCAAGAGACAAGGTCTGCCTCTATTACAAACTATTCCCATCCTAAATTGAAAGCCCAAAGATGACAGACTGGGGTCAGTTTTCTCCAGTGTGTAGCGATCACTGAACATACCATATGTGCACTTCTCAGGAAACTTTCAACAAATTAAGCCAGGATCAACAAGTCAAACAGGATTCAGTCACTGCTTTGATGTGAGATTCTTTTACATTTTATTATCCTCTTTACGGATAGTTTTACATTCCATCCCAGTAGCATTTCTGCTCATCTGCTTATTATTTCACATGACTAATTTCCATACTACAACATTCATAAGGGCCTGGCGTGACGGATTTTGCTTTGCCAACGTGCAATTAAGTTACTTCAAAATACATCCCTTGTTGCAGGTGGAGGCACATGGCAATTCCTTCCTTCCTTCAAACAGCCTGGAAAGATCAGCTGTTTTTTCTTTTACCTCATGGTTCTTTCGGTGGTGGTCAAACCAAAACACACACCCTGGTATACGTTTTTCACCGATGCCAAGACCAGCAACACCGACTCCTTTATT